CCATCTGATTAGGATAGTCAATGGCATCTTCTTGGGTGAAGAGACAGAGCAATTACCTCCACTTACCTCTTACCCATGGCTGGCCCCTCTGATAACTGGGTTTGAGTCGGTTTGTGCCTAATGAGCTCCGACTGGTCCATATAATGTTTTCCCAGGTATCTGGTGGTTTACTATGCCAGGTCATTAGGTACCAGAATGAACATGCTCTAGAATTCAAAGTCTCTTGGACTTGGGTTCCTAGTTGTTCTGAGCATCATAGTCAGCTGGGGGATTTATTAGCAAGCCAATATTTTAAGCTTCATTTGTGAAACTCTCCTTCACAGAATCCAGAGCACAGTCTGTGCATCTCACTGTTGTACATGAAGCATCCCCGGTGAATGCAGGTGGGTCACACATTCAGAAACGTTGAGTGGAGACACTTAGAACCAGGCGAGGCGTTTCAGACAGTCGTGTTAAAGAAAATCTGAGACTTACGAAGGCACATCGAGTCAAGGGGTGGAAGATGATTCAGTGACAGGGTGTTGGGATGTGGAGGACTAAGGCAAATAGTGGGTGGAAGGAAATGAAAATTCTGGAGGATAGGTACAAACTACATTTCAACTCCAAGGGCTGAGATCATGCTGACAAAACTGACTTTATTGCGCAGACAGTTGTTGGAAGTGTGGAAGGTATTTTAAGGAGCCACTTAAAAAATTTCCAGTGAAGTTCCACAAGATGAAGGCCTCAGACATTGTCTAAACCCTTATAAACAGTGTTTTTGTGAACAGGAATTCATGCCCTTCATTTAGGAGTAGAGTAGCTATGTTGGCCTTTGGGGGCACCATAGGGATTAGATGAGATTAAGTGGCACATGTTCTCAGTATGTAGCAGTTTCCCTCTTCCATTATCTGGGCAGCAGTGATGCCAACTAATGCTGGTCTGTGAGGCTCTAAGAGTCTGATGGCATGAGGGGCCTCCTACTGAGAAGAACCAACAGGGAATAAGAGAGCAGAGACATTGTTCCATCAACACATGTTCATGCGAAGAGGATAAAATAGAAGAAATCAATAAAAGGGGGAAATGATTATTCCATACTTGGCACTTTATACATAGTCTCATACTTCAAAATGACCTATGGCTTAGTAGTGATGACTATTCATAATCTCAACCTCCCAGTTAAAAAAAAAAGGCACTTGCTCACAAGCCAACCTGTGAATGCCATCTCTTCTTGAAAATGACCTTCCTCCTCCCAAGTGTTCGTCCCATGACTCCCAATGTCTGTTTCCACTGCCTTTCCTAGCAGCCAGCCTGCTCAAGCCAAGGTACTGGAGAGTCAGGTGTGAGAGTGTGGTAGCCTCCAACCTCCTGCACTGCCTGCAGGGCAGACTGCAGGCAGCCTTGCCATGTGGTTTACAGTGCCCTTCATTCTTCAGCCTTTGACACTTCACAGCAAACACTCCAAATCTTCTCGCCTGTCCACTGGGTGCTGTGTTCTGGGAATATTACCCAGTCTAACACGGCTTGCTTTTCTCACTAATGAATGCACTGGGTGTGTGCCTAGAAGTCTATTAAAGCTCTTGATTCATTAGTTTTTCTCTGTTTCCTTGGCCCAGAGAGTCTAACATCATCCCAATATCATTTGATGCTGCCCTCGGTGATCCAGCAAGAGGGAAAAAGCCCACTGGGGAGGGGCTGAAGACCAATGAATGATACAATCACTTCTCAACTTTCTGTCTTTCAGGTTCACAGGACACTTCCAATGGGCCCAATAGATCAGACTCGGTGACAAGAAGGACAGGGATCTTGCTCTTATGGAACCCATGCTTGGAGAGAAAAACTCATAAAGTCAGTAAACACATAAGGTATAAGTCACAAGGATTGTAGGTACCAGGGGCTGTCTCAGTGGTCAGAAGATTCCATGTACCCTCTGTACTGCACTAGAAACTTTTCAATTGGCCTGGTGCATCAGAGACTCCTTAATTCCTGTGCTTGGGAAGCTAGAAAGGACCTTAGCCGTGATAATCAGCTTCCTTATCTTATGTTGAGACTATTCTAAATATACCTTTGCCTGTAATTTCCCCTTTGCTTATTTTCCTTCACTATATTGTCTCCACTCTTCCTGGTCAGTTTCTCCTGGAAGCATGTGATTCATTTAATCCATCACCTTATCCCACGTCTCTATACTAGAACTCTGCCAAAGATGGCCATACCCAAGCAAACTGGACCAAGTGCACAAAACAAAGGAAAAGATATTAGAAAGATGGCATTGCAGCCAAGTCCTGGGGAATGACTCATGCCACCAGGAAGGAATACTAGAGGGCTCTAGATTTCTCACACCCTAAGTTTCATCTTCTCAAGGCCAAAACTGGAAAGTACTTCCCAAGGCAGGTGAATGGATTAGCAGGTAGATGAGTGGAGAGATGGATGCCTGGGTATTTGGATAAATAGGTGTATAGATGGGTGAATGAGGGGATGGATGAGTAGGTGGGCAGATGGGAGGGAGGATGGTTGAGTCGGTTGATGGATGGTTGTGTGGATAGGTGAATGAGTGGATTGGTAAATAGGTAGATGGATTGGTAGGTGGATTATTAGATGAGCAACACCTTGAAGAGTTTCTCTACAAATGTTACTAATACAGTCAAGCTGTGAGTGTATTAGGAATTTTGACTCACAGAAATTTAAATTTATAGCATAATACTGACTTTGTAAAATGCATCATTGGTATAATTTGTTACTATTTCATTATATTATCCAACAAGTAATTATTTTACATAGTTCCAGCAGGCAGTAAAGTAAAAAATGTTGAATTCCTTTCTTTAAAATACACAAGGTGGCATTCTTACGAGATTGCATGAAATAAATGGCGAGTCTCAGGTTCCAGCCAATTTGTGTTTTCTGTGAACAGCATGGAGAGGCCAACAAACCAGGATGATTTTGGAAGCTTCTAGAATGTACCAATGAGAAGTTCTGGAAACCTCCTAGGGATGAATGATGCAGTTTGAGCACTCTCCACACCTTGTGTAGTTAATTGACTCCAAGTCGAGGGCAATCTCAGGAGGGCAATTGATGGCAGTAATTCTGCTCACTTCCAACCCTCAGGTCTGATAAGCCAGGAGAAATATTCCTGTGTGAATGCATTCACGAGAAAGCTAATAGATGCACTGAGGTTGGGGTTGAACAGTCCACAGTAAAAGGCTCACAAGAAAGCTTGGGCAGGATCAAGGAGCCTAGAAGAGTGAAAATGTGCCCCAAACACTAAGAGTAATGGTCATCCATGAAGATCTAGAGGGGAAATTGAAGAGCTTTAAAGGGGACTTTTTCTCAACTTCACACTCCTCCGGAGAGCCCCCCAAAGAGAAGATTTCTAATTGAAATTCCATTTTCCTCTTATGAACATTGCTTCTTTTTAATATTTTCCCCTTTATGCCAGTTGCTAACTTTCATTTAGCTTCATCAAAGGACATTGTCCTATATTTACTCCAATGCAGAAGCCGAGATTCTGCTATGAAGCAAGCCAGCCAAGGCCACACAGCCAGTATATGCTCAGACTGAGCCGAGGGAGGAACCATCTCTTGGTCTGTAGCTTCTCCTTCAACTTACTGATCTATTCCTTCTGAAAAGGACTTGTCTCATGCAGGAACATCTTTAAGACGTTTTACTGAGACGAAGTACAGAAAACATACACTAGTAATATGCAATTTGGATGCATTTTCACATCCTGCATGTATTTCAAGAAAGTTATTAACATAGCAGCACAGGGAAGCCTGCTGGTGGCCCCTGTGAACACTACCCTGAGGGTGGCCTCTGTCCCTGTTTCTAGCAGTCTGTTAACTTTTCCTGCTTTTAACAATCATGTAGGTGCAATCTGGAAAGCTCCATCACTGGGCATGGCTCCTTTTGCTTTTTTTATTCTTTGTGAGATTCTTGCATGTCCTTGCATGTGTCTATGAGTTATTCATTCTTATTGCTGCTAGAATTCTATTATGTGAGAATACCACAATTTGTTATTCATTTTATGTTGACAAGTACTCGGGTTGTGTCTAGCTTAGGGCCATTACAGATTGACTGAGATCATGGGGGATGTATACATCTCCATTAGATGTGGACTAACAGACTCCCAGATCAGCCGGACCAGTCTTTTCCCTCTAGCAATACATGGCCATTCCCCAGTGCTCCATTTTCCCAGCCTCTTGATATTTCCTATAGTTTGAAATTTGGTCATTTGGATAATGATAGTGCTGCTTTATTATTGTTTTTAAACTCAGATCTTTTGTGAATAATATTCCTGTATACATTTTACATGTTTCTGAAATCCACAGGCAGTGTCTGGGTTCAGGCCACAGTTTCAAGACATAATGGATAGAGAAGCTTGATCAGTGAAGGTGCTGGCTGGCAGACTTTGTGGGATGCCTGGCTTCTTTCCTGGACTAGCCACACAGTAAAAGTAAAAGACGGAGATGATGGAGATGGAAAGATAGAAACAGAGATGGATGAATGAATAGATAGATTAGATAGAGTATTATCCCACTCCCTAATACTACCACATAGAGGAATTAGATCTCCAATATACAATATTTGGGAAGGAGGCAAACATTCAGTTCATAAATTAGCAAAGATTATACCCTTATGCAATGTTAAAATCTTGGCCATATGCCTGGCCGTGGTGGTGCACAACTTTAACCCCAGCCTGGTTAAAGCAGAGAAGCAGAGGCAGATGGGTCTCTGTGAGTTCAAGGCCAGCCTGGTTGGTCTACAAAGTGAGTTCCAGGACAGAGCTGCACAGAGAAATCTTGTCTCGAAAAGCAACACAAAACAAACAAAACAAAACAAAAATCTCGGCCACAATTTTCAGTGGCTTTTGTCTGTTCCAGTTACCAATCCATAAGGGAACTTACAGGAATGCTCTGCTATAGGAACACTTAAAAATCTATCCAATGCTATTCATCAAAATCAAATCCATTATATTAATGTAATTTGCTTTCCGTTATTTAGCCTTTACTCTGCTACAGGCAGGCTCTTTACTTACACCATACTAGGAAAGGACTTACATCAGTTGGTCAAACAATGGCATTTGGCAGATGGGCACATACATGTAGTTATACATGCACACTCAATACCCACCCCCCACTGAGCATTCCCAATCCTGGCTTCCTCTTTTCCCTCACTCTATCTTCACAGCCCTGAGTGTACGTTAGTGAAGCCCATGGTGGACATAACCAAGAAACATATTTCCTTCAAGATCCATTGAATGTCTCCTCTTTATTCATTCAACATCATTAGCTGGGGGTCATCTACTTCCAAATACTGTCATATTTACAGGATACAGTAGTGTACAGCCCAGGAGGAAGTCCTACCTACATTAAGTTTCCAGTCTATATCTCTGTAAGGTGGAGAAAGAAATTATAGAAATCAAACATAAGCATAATACCTACCCCCTGTTATTTATTTATTTGTGTGTGTGTGTGTGTGTGTGTGTGTGTGTGTGTGTGTGTGTGT